TTTTGGGCTCTCACACATTGGCACCCAGTATGTTTCTCAAGCCTCAGGGTTCAGAACTCAAACTGTGTGCTTGGCCACAGTTCGGGGTCCGGCTACACTAACCAGAGGCCACAGAGCCAGCCCAAACATTTTATTTATCTCTGAGAGAGACAGATACCCTTGACTCACTGTACCAGTCTCCTCCTCAGCCTCCCAGCCAGCCAGAATCACAAGCAGGGACCAGCAGTTAGCGTAATGGCTATGTCGCTGGACTTCCATATAGTAGACCACGGTTCAAGTCCCGGACCTGGTGGCTTAAACTCATGCTGGGCGCATGTGCATGCGTGCCCAAGATCCCGAGAAGAGAATGGAAGAGAAGGAATTGTGGCGTGGACATCCTCCCTGGGGGGTGATTTCTCGCTTTCTGTCTCTCTGCCTCTCTCTGTCTCTTTCTGGTGAGCGCACGTGCCCTATAGCAAAAACCTCTCAAAACAAAACCAGAATCACAAGCATACATGATGTGTTTAGATTGACCCAGGATCTGAACCCAGATCTCCCATGTGGCTCCAGTGCCCACCACCCAGTAACTATTAAGTAACAATTCCATATCCTTACCTACCACACGCCAGGCAATTCCCTAAGTATTGTGCCTGCATTGATTTTAATTCTACCAAGAGAGGCATTTGCCCCATTTCACAGGTGAGGAAACTGAGGCTCCGAATAAGTAATTTGCCCAACACATGGATGAAGCGTCAGCACCAAGCTTCAAAGTCAGGTCTGTACAGAGCTTTGTCCTCTCTTCAACACCCGCAGTCTCTTCCTGCACAGTACATCCCGGTTCTTCCGTCCTTGTGTTGTCAGCATCTGCTGAGGTTTGTCTTCTCTCTCTCTCTTTTTAAAGAATTATTTATTCATTTATTTTAATTTGACCAGGGAGAGACACAAAGGGAGAGAGAAAGAGAGAGGAGGAAAGTGAGAAAGCAAGCTGCCAGGTACAGGACTCAAACCCAAGCTGCCGTGACAAGGCCTCAACCCGCCTTTGGCCATGTGGGAGTGTCCAGCGCTTAACTACCACACCACCTGCTGGTCCCTATGTCTTCTCTTTTTTTGTTTGTTTTTAGCTTGTGTTTTCTGTTTGTTTGCTTGCTTTTTTACTTTTCTTTTTTTATTATTATTTAACTTTATTTATTTTAATTTGATCAGAGAGGGACAGAGTGAGAGAGAGAGAGGGAGAGAGAGAAAGGGAAAGTGAGGGACCAACAGCTAGTGTAATGGCTGTGGCGCCGGACTAGGGAAGTAGGGGAACTAGCAGTTAGCGTAATGGCTATGTCGCTGGACTCCCATGTAGTTAACCGTGGTTCGTGTCCCGGATCCGGAGGCAGGATTGCGGCGCGACCATCCCCCCTGGGGGGTGGTTTCTTGCTTTCTGTCTCTATGTCTCTCTCTGTCTGTCTGGCAAAGCACGCGCCCTATAGCGGGAAAAAAAAAAAAAAAAAAAAAAAACCCCCCCCAAAGAAAGGGAAAGTGAGAAAACAAATCTCCAGGTTCAGGAATCTAGCCCCCTGCTTTTTTAGTTTTCTATAGGGTGCACATACTCACTAGAGAGAGATAGAGAAAGAGAGAAATCACCATGAGCAGGGCCAGTAGGTGGCCTACTGGTAAGGCGCTGGACTCCCATATAACCAACCATGGTTTGAGTCCCCAACTCAGCCCCTTGAAACTGATGCCAGGCACGTGTGTGTGCATGCCCAAAATCCTAAGAGGAGACTAGAGGAGAAGTTTGTGGCATGGCCAACTCCCCTGAGGGGTGATTTCTCACTTTCTGTGTCTGTCTCTCCAGCAAGCGCACATGCCCTATGGCAAAAATCTCTCTCAAAAAAAAAAAAGAAATCACAAGCCACCAAGTCTGGGACTCAAACCACGCTGTCAGCCATGTGGGATCCTGTGTCTTAACCTCTATGCCACCAGCTGATCTAAGGTTTATCTTTTTGTTCCCCTTTTTTTCCTTGAAGACTCTTTATTTCCTTTGATATATCTTGAATCACCAGGGTTTCCTTCTCTTGCCTTCCTATCAGGCCTCTTTGGGTTTCTTCTGTCCTCTGTGCCTCCTGCCCTCACCCACATGGGCAGCTCATCTCTGTCTTCCCCACCTTCCCTTCCAGGTGGCGGCCACACTGCAGTGCAGCCTGGGAGAGCCGTGGGAAGGAAGAGCTGGCCTGTAGAGTTTGACAGGAGGGGAGCAGATTGGCTGTGGGAGACTGCAGTCATGAGGGAAGGGCCAGAGTGGGCCTTGGGTGGGGGATGTCAGCATATGGGCAAATCCGTGTCGGGGCTCACCAAGGGCTTGGGGCTCTTGTGAGTGAGGACAGTGTGTGGGTTTGAAAAGAAAGGGTGGGGCTAGAGTCTCAGAGAAGTGGGTGGCAGTGACCAACAGGGGGCAGCAGTGGCCAACAGAAGCAGAACCGGGTGTGAGACCAGACCAAGTCCCCAGAGCCACCAGGGGTGGGTCTGGCACTGGCACCCTCCTGCTCATAACCCCTCATGATTTCCCACCTCCCCCAGACTCTGGTTACTGAGCAAGACTCCGAGGCCAGCAAAATGCAGGACTTGAGGGGCCCTAGGCCACGGAGACTAAGGCTTGGTGCCGGGGCTGCCTGTGCTGGACTGTGAGGCTGGTGAAAGGGGTCAGAGCCGCCTTCCCCTTGGCCCACTTTGGTTTCACCCCTGCCTGGGCCCTAGTACTTCCTTCCTGATGAGATGGGGAGCACTGCACTGACTGCCTTCTGGGGAGACGGTAGGAGAGGAGGGGACAGGGAGTGGGTCGTTCAGGGCGAGAGGAGTCACACGCAGGGTGGGGAGTGGAGGCAGACCATGTAGAAACTGCATGATTAGCTGCCTACCCTGGAGCTTGGAGAGAGAGCAGTGACAGCTAAACCATATGAAGAGGTCGAACCAGACAAGGGAATAGATGAATGATCAAACAGGATGTTTTGTGCCCTGCTAAGGTGTTTAGGCTTCATTCTGCAGTCCCTCAGAGAACACAGAGATCATTGAGGCCGTGAGTGATGCGATTCTGTTTTTTGTTTGTTTGTTTGTTTTGGGGAGAGGTTTTTACTATAGGGGCGTGCGCTCGCCAGACAGAGAGAGAGAGACAGAGAGAGACAGAAAGTGAGAAATCACCCCCCAGAGGGGATGGCCACGCCACAATCCCTTCTCCTCCATTCTCCTCTCGGGATCTTGGGCACGCACGCACACA